GTTGTAATCGTTGTTGCGTTCGCACGTCTACAAACAGTTATTCTTGATCCCCTAGGGCCCCATCAGCTTTTTAAGCTCAAGTGCCCCTCCCGGGGCTCGCACCTTGTTTCTTTCACGAAGGAAAATCTTGAGGCTCAGATTGCGCCCCTGGCCCCCGAACTACCACAACAACGGCTCCCGCCTCATATGTTCTCACAATTGATTCAAAATCGCGCTCTCGTGCGGGACTGCTCCACACCCTGTCCAGTAATTGCGCTCTCGCGTCGCACTTTTTCGCGATGTCTTGAAACGCCACGCTCCCAATACTCAGGAATCACGCTCTCGCGTTCGATTTTCTCACGATTACCTTGGGAATCGCGCTAGCGCTAGAGACTCCTTCGCGATTCATGCATGACTGACGCTTCAACGACCCGCCCTCTCGACCCCGCCGTCTGGGCCCGCCCGTCCGACCCACCCCTCCCGTCTGGTTCTGCCGCTTGTTTTGCTGCTCCTGCCCCCCCTCCTGCTAATCTTTGTCGTGCTCGATCCTTCTCTCTCTTTGTTGTTCCTTCCCACCTCCCTCCCCCTGATTTAGGGACTGCGCCAATTACACGTGGCAGGTAACGAAGACATGCCCTACAGGGGTGTGTGATTGAAAGTAAGGAGCGGCACGTATTGAACATTCTTAACATGATTGTTGTTGTTGTGGTTGTGGTTGTTGTGGTTGTGGTTGTTGCTGCTGTTGTTGAACTCTCATTTCTGAAAAATCATTATTGTTGATCCCCCCTGTCTGGTGCCCATTGGTTTTTTCAATTGAAGTGCTTCCTCCGGGGCTCGCACCCTGTTTTTTGTCAGGGAAAGCCTTGCGGATCAGATTGCATTGTTGGGCCCCGGACTACAACAACAACGGCTCCCGCCTGAGACTTCCTCGCAATTTACTCAGGACCCCCGCTCCCGCCTGAGACTTCCTCAAAATTTACTCCAGAAGGGCGCTCCTGCTTCAGACTTTCTTACATTTTACTCAGGAACGGCGCTCCCGCTTGAGACTTCCTTAATCAGGACCCCTGCTCCCGCCCGAGACTTCCTCATAATTTACTCAGGAATGGCGCTCTCGCTTAGGACTTCCTCACAATTTATTGCAGCATCGCGTTCTCGACGCTCAGAAACCACGCTCGCGCCAAGGACGCCCTCGCAATTTACTTAGGAATCGCGCTCTCGCTTAATACTTCCTCGCAATTTACGCAAAAATCCCGTTTGAAAGTCCCGCCCGCCCGACCCGCCCGTCAGGGTCCGCCCGCCCGACCGGCGCTCCCGCCTGAGACGTCCGACAATGTACTCGGGACCCCCGCTCCCGTCCAACTCTTCCTTGAGGAATACGCCCTCGCCTAGGACTTCCTCGAACGTTCACACTCTTACCCTCCTGCCCTTTCCTCCCCATCCAACCTCCCTCCTCCCTCCCCTCTCCCTCATATCCACCCTCCTCCTCCCTCTTCCTCTCTCCCCTCACCCTCCTCCCATAACCCTCCTCCCTCCTCCCTTCGCCCTCCCCTCTCCAGCCTCCTCCTTCCTCCCTCCTCTGTCTCTCTATCTCCAATCGTCCCCCCCCCTCCTCGCCCCCTCTCTTCTGGCGTGTTCCCGTTTAGCCTCGTCCCTCCCCCTCCCTTCCTCCCACTCTCCCTCGTTCTCCCCCTTCCTGTTCTTGCAGGGCCCGCGCTAATTCCAATGGTGGGCAAAGAGATGCGTGCCCCATCCTCCGAATAATTCCCAGCCCGTTCACGCCCGCTTGTCTAAACCCGCCCGCCCCCGCAAAAAGAAATAATCCCCCCAGAAGGGGGTGCGCTCGAAGACGAAGGGGGCGGGTATCGAGGGCGTGGGTATACACGTTGCATGGCACGCGGGCAAGTAAGAGCGAACAGTCTTAAAATTATTATTATTGTTGTTGTGGTTGTTGTGGTTGTGGTTGTGGTTGTGGTTGTGGCCCCGGCTCCCGATCCCGCTGGTTCTGGCCCCCAGTCCCAAGTCCGGCCCCGGCCCCGTCCGCGGCTGGTCCCAACGCCGGCCCCATGGCTCCCGGTTCCACCCCCAGTCCCAGCCCCGGCCCCGATGCCCGTCCGTTTCGGGCCCCGGCCCCGACCGCAACTGGTCCCAACCCCGGCCCCGGCCCCGGTGCACCCCCAGCCCCAGCTCCAGCCTCGGCCTCGGCCGCTCCCGGCCCCGGCCCTGGCCCCGGTCCTGGCCGGCCCCGGCTCCCGTCCCGGCCCCAACCCCGGACCCAATGCCGGTCTCGACCCCGCCCTGGCCCCGGCCCCGGCCCCAGTCTCGGCCTCGGCCCTGGCCCTGGCTCCCGGCCCGCCCGGCCCTGGCCCAGGTCCCCGCCCCAGCGCCCTCCAAATCTACACTCCGTGGCGTCCTAGATGCCCGCGATGCCGAACCTGGCTTCGAAACAGCGAACAGAGCCAGGAAGTCGCCCCAGGAGGGCTCCAAGACGCCCCGATTGGTCCTGACAGGCAACGGGCGTCGTCGTCAACATCGTCAACATCCCCGACATTATCTTCCTCCTTCTCCTCCTCATGATCGCCACGCTCTACTCGCCCCTGCCCTTCCTTCGTGCCCCCCCCCCCTCCACCTGTCCATGCGACCCTGCTCGCCTCACTATCCTCCAATTCATTCCCCCCTGTGCTCCTACTCATCCTCATCCACCTCTTCCTCCTGTCCCCATCCTCATCATCCTCCCCATGCTCCGCGCCCTCCTCCCCAACCTCAGGTTCGGCGGCACCGGCCGTAAGGCCTTCGCAATAAGGACCGGCACGTAATGAACATTTTTAACATGATTGTTGTGATTGTGGTTGTGGTTGATGTGGTTGTGGTTGCTGTGGTTGTGGTTGAGTTTGTGGTTGTTGCTGTGTTGTTGTCGTTCTCGAATTCTCATTTCCAAAGAATTATTACTGTTGATTCCCCTTCCGGTGACCGTTGCAGTTTTCAATTGAAGTGCCCCCCTCGGGGCTCGCACCTTATTTTTCATCAGAGGAAGCTTGGCGCCACCAAACTGGGTTGTTGGGCCCCGAACTACAACAAAAACGGTTCCAGCCTGATACTTCCTCACGTTTTTTTTCGAAATCGCGCTCTCGCGCGGGATTTCCTCTCAAGTAATGCAGGAGTCGAGCTTTCGCGTGGGACTTCCTCACATTTATTCAGACGCCGCGCCCTCGACACTCAGGAATCATGTTCTCGTTTTGGCCTTGCCCACGATTTACTTGGGAATCGCGCTATCACTCGAGCTCTCCTCGCGGTTCATGTAGGGTTCACGCTTCAACAACACGCCTTCTCGACCTGGCCGCTTGGGCTCGCCTTCCCGACCCGCCCGTTCGGGTCTACCCGCCTGATGGGCCCGTCTGCATCTGCCACGTTTTTTTCGATCCTGGCCCCCCTCCTGCTAATCCCGTGCTCCATCCGTCTCCCTCCCCCTTCCATCCGTCCTCTCTTCCCCTGTTTCAGGGGCTGCGCCAGTTACGTGCGGCAGGTAAGAAAGATATATCCCCAGGGGATGGTACGATCGAAAACCAAGAGGTCGGGTACCGAGGGTGTGGGATATGCGTAATGAATGAATGGCACGCGAGCAGGTAAGGCCGAAGAGTCTTAACATGATTGTTGTTGTTGTTGCTGCTGTTGTTGTTGTTGTTGTTGGTGGTGTGTGCTGGTGCAAAGCAATGAAGAGCCGATGGCAAAGAACAACTACCAATCGATGACCACGTGTCAACATCACTGAAACTAGCCGGCAATGCAGACAGGACCCTTACGCCGGCAAACTTGTACACCGACCTCCACGGCAACAGCAAGATCGAAAACCAGCCGAACCGGTGGTGAAATCGACACCGACCGAAAACCGACGGATCATATTCAGCGTAAAGGGACGCACTGGCGCGGCAGCCGACCGAACCGAATCGCCCGAGTGCAGCCGACTGCAAAGCAGCCGACCCGACCGAACCGCGGACCCCTTTGCGGTGGCTCCGACAGGTGCCACAGGCATGTACAAGCCCCTTCCACGCCAAAGGAAGGACTTCTACTCCGTGCGCGTCCCTGTGAAGCCGCTGGAGCTCCAGTGGGGTCGGTGCATACATTTCTTCATCTGGCCGACTCTTGAAACCTTGGATTCAAAAATGTTGACTTCCCGCTTTTGCCTGCACCACCTTCCGCTGATCTTCCGCCAGCGGACCTCCTCCTCTTCCTCCTCCACCTCTTCCTCCTCGTCCTACTCCTCCTGGAAAATGCCTCCAGACTTGTCCAGGAGTGCGTTCTGGCCAGAACTGAAAGGATGATCCAGCCGTGGCGGCGAAAAGCCCCCCAGAGGCCCAAAGAGGGCGAACCGTTTCTAAACACCCCGATCCCCGAAGCACGGTCCTCGAAATTCGGCCCCTGATTGGTAAGGCTTCCGGCTGCGGACAGACAGCCCCCCCAGGCAGTCCTGGCTGGCCTCAATAGCCCCCCCGAATGCAGTCGGGGCGTTGACCTAAGGAACCCTAATAAGGAACGAGGCCCCTGTTTTTTACAAGTTAGACTTCGACTTCCGATCGAAAACATAAGGAAAACCTGAGGCGAGCCGTGAAACACTTAAGGAACGCGGAGCCCCTCCCCAACGAGAAGGGTTCCTTCTTCAGAGCCCCGACTGTAGTCTGGGTCGGCCTCAACACCCGAGCCCTGGGGCGCGGAACGCCCCAGGAGCGCCGCCGGAGGCGGCGCCAAGGCGTGGAGACCGCTGCGGGCTACTCGGGGGGCCTGTTGAGGCCAGCCAGGGCTACTCGGGGGGCCCGTTGAGGCCCGCTGGGGCTACCTGGGGGGCCTGTCTCTGGCCATCGCTCGGACGTCCATTCCCTGTGCTCTTTTCGGTTCCGTGCGTGGTTTTTTCGCCAAATGATCAAGGATGCTCCTCGATGGTCCTCGCCGAAGGAAAAATGCACACGTCCGAGCGATGCCAAGGTCTGTGCGCAGCGCGAAGCCTGACCAGTGCTCCTGCTCCCCCCCGCCTACGCCGGCGAGGGCGTTGAAGGCGGCCGCAGCCCGTGCGCCCATCTCCGCGGAGTGCGTGCCGCGGCGCAGCTGCGGGGGAGGGTCGGGCTGGATCGGGTCGCCGCCGCAGCCGCCGCCACCGCCGTCGTCGTCGTCGCCGTCGTTGGCCTAGGTCGGCGGCGCGCAGGAGTGGCCCTGGGCAAGAGTGAGCCTTGGGTGCGTGGCTTTAGGGGTTACGGTGGGGCCAAGTCCAGGCGCGCAAGCCAGTCCTGGGAGCCCTCTCGGCCTGCACCGGAGGTCACTCCGGCGACGGGTCACTCCTTCGTGTAGGCGATAAGGAATGATCATTGCTGATCTGGGAAGCGGTTCTGGGCGCTCTCGCCTCGACGCCGGCTACACTTCCCTTGAAAACAAAGCTCCCGCTCGAGCGCGGGCTTGGGTCCCAATCCTGGCCGTTGAAGGCTCAACTGCGACGACAGCGGTCCCGGCCGTTGAAGGCCCAACTGCGACGACAACGGCTCCCGCTCGATAGTTCCTCACAATTTACTCCGGAACGCTCTGACCACAGATGCCCGGGAACTCAGGAATGGCGCTCTCGGCCGAGACTTCCTCGCAGTCCAATAAAGTGTGCCAACAACGATGGCAACGACTCCCGATTGATACTTCTCACAATCTACTCAGAGACGCCCTTGCCAGAGAGGCCCCCGAACTCAGGACTGGCGCTGTCGCCCGAACTTGTCTCGCAGTTGCGTCATGTTGGCGAAGGCCCAACAACGACGACATCGGCTCGCGCTCGTACGTCCTCACAATTTACTCCGACACGCCTTGGCCAGAGAGACCCCCCAACTCGCGAAGTTCAATCAAATTGGCGAAGGCCCAACTACGACATCGGCTCCCGCTTGATTCTTCCGCGCAATTTGCTCCCACTCGCCCTGGTCGGACGCTTTGTGACACCAGGGACAGGCGCTCCATGCTGAGTGCTTCTCCCAGGAGCTGGCATGAAAAGGACCCCCGCCAAAATGATACTGATTCATGGATTTAGATAGCGGGTACAAGGGATGGGGGAGAAACAAGCGAAGGACACCGCAACTTGTCAAACCACATGTTCGCAAGATGGTCGTTGGCGTTTTCGTCGTCGTGGCCGTCCCGCGCGCTTGAAGAGGGGGAGGAAGCGGGGGGAGGAGAATGGGGATGATGAGGAATAGCGCGGATCATGAGGAGGAGGGGGAGGAGGAGGAGGAGGAGGAGGAGGAGGAAGAGGGGGAGGAGGAGGAGAAGGAGGAGGAGGAAGAGGAGGAGGAGGAGGAGGAGGAGGAGGAGGAGGAGGAGGAGGAGAGGAGGAGGAGGAAGAGCGCCAAGCTATGTGCGCTTGCGTCATATCTGACGTCCTACCCTTCCCTCCCGTCCCTTACCTTGGCGTACATATCCCCTCTCTTCGCACACTCGGATGGCGAGCAGGGTAAAGATCGCGAGAGGGTACGCGTGCATGGTAGGGTACTGCATGGCATAGCGTAGAAAAACACGGCAGAGCGTAGCATTCCATAGCATGGCGTGGAATTGCGCAGAGAAGCATTGCATCACAAAACGTTGCAACGCAAAGCGTGACATCGCACAACAGCGCAACACACAACACCGCACAACTTGTCATGGCATGGCGCCGGGTTCCTTGGAGGGTAAGTGGATCGTCTTCGAGAGGTCTGGGCCCAGTCTGGAGTCGTGGCTCAATGTCTAGCTCCTTGGGCTCACCGAGAAGCTCCACACAAGGCGGGGCTGATGGAGAGCACCCGCTGGCTCTGCTTTCAACATCGCATTCTCAAAACAGAAACGGGGCTCCCGCTAGATACTTCCTCAAAGCGAGGACGCCCCAAAGTTTGGGGGCTTCTGCGTCCAAAACTATCAACGAGTCGACACGACATGTGTAATCACTTCCGCTGTTTTTTTTCGGGGGGCATTCTCTAGATTTTGGGGCCTATTTGGAAGGACCGAAAGCGCCCGCGCTGTAGCGGGAGCACGATTTGGAACAACCAGAGGCGCAGAAATGGGGCCAGCGCTTCAGCGGGAGTAACAAGTTGAAAACAACCCAAGCGAAAACCCAACTCCCAGAAATCCTGTGTGTAAAAAAAACAATATGCGGAGGGGGGCCGGACATCTTCCGGACGTCACCAGGGGAGAGAGGAGAGTAGTATTCATATTGTGTAATTGTAGAATGAACGTTCCATGAAGAGTCACAATCACGCCCTACGCCTCATGCAAACAATGGATGGCAAAAACACGACATCGAACCGCAGCAATGGCAATTACGTAAACGTGGGTGGCGGGGGGGCGCTGGTCCCTCCCTTCATGGCGTGAAGCGAATCGAGCGCCATGGCAAGCGAACGTACGCCGTAATCGCACGAATGCTGACCCTGATGCACCGAATCAACTCCAGTATTCAAGCGACCTAAAGCGTCACCGCTGAGCGGCCTCTAAGGGTCACCAGCGAGATGTAGGACATGATCACACAGTTAACAATGCTGGATGCAGTCGATGCCTGCGGGACAACCCACATAAAACAAAACCTGGAGCCAGGGCCTGCAAGCATACTGTTGCTGGCAGTCCATGTTCCACACATTGTTTTGAAACGCGCACCATCTGAGAGCAGGCTGCACCTACCAAAATGAGAACCTAGGAAGAGCCAACAATCCTGAAAATCAGGAGAACGACGGCGGGGAAGTCGGGGTACCACTCCCGCGACCTCCGACGCAATGTGTCAGGGAAGTTGTCGGAAGACAGCGAGCGTGTCATCTGCATCGCTGCAGCACGCTGCGCCTGCGGTTTCCCTCCGCACCCGAGAGGCTCCACCCGACCAACCTCGGCCCTTCCCGCTCTGACTGCGGCGTGCTGAGCAGCAGCAGAAATCTTGCTCTCGTCTTTCGCCTCTCCTCCTCCTCCTCCTCCTCCTCCCTACTGCCATTTTCCTCTTCCCTCCTCCCACCCTTCCTTCCCACTCGGAATCCGTATCTTTCCTCACCCCCTCTTCCTTCCTCCTCCTTTCTCCTGCTGCTCCTCCTCGCCCTCTCCGCCCTCGTCGTTCTCCTCCCTTCCTCGTCGTCCTGTCTCCGAGTTGGGAGTTTTAATCCCCTCCGAGGAAGCCCTGTCGCGGACCCCCTCTGCCGCCGGCCCTGTCGCTCATGCGTTGAGAATACGATCGTCTCGAACTTCTTGGAGCGCTTCGGAAAATCATTCTGATCGACAATACGCCGGTCAGAAGAAGTGGGTAGAACCATAAGTAGGAAGGCGTTGGAAATAGATTGGGCCTCCGCCCGCCCCCTGGAGACGACGGAAAAACGGACAACCACTCGATCCTTGAAGTAGGAGTCTGGGAATCCAGAAGTGCATACTTTCAACGACCGATGGGTAGTCGTCGTGCTGCGCAGGGGTGCCGAGAGTGGGCAATCTGTGCTCGCTCCTCGGGCATCCAGGCGGTGGGGCGCTGGTCCAAGGGAAAGACGGCCTGGCGATGGTGCACCGGTGGCAGGACAGCCGAGTGATGATTCCACCGACGGCGACGGGACGTATTTCACTCGGCGGCGAGCGGGGGGGGGAAGAGAGAAGGAAAAGGCCTTCTCAGAAGGCGGCGGGGCTTTTCATAAGGCCTCCGGGCTTCTGACAAGACTTCTGTGTCTTCGGGGAAGGCTTAGAAAACTTCTCAGAATGCCAAGGGAACTTCCGAGCTTTCTGAGAAGGCCCGCCCATGATCAATTACCCCCCTCGCTCGCCGCCGAATCACTGCCGCCATCACGCAACTGAGGCCACGACCGCACTAACAACTCCCTGTCCCTGTCCCTCCCTCCCTCCCTCTCTTGCTCTTTCGTGACCTCCAAACCATCCAACGCTGCCGCTGAAGCCGCCGCAATTGCGACCGCTATCGTAACTACACGCACCATTCATACCACTTTCGTCGCAACTGCCATAGGCGAGTTCGCTATCAAGAGCGCACTATCGCCACCAAGAGGAATACCAACGCAAACATTGCACACACAATCATCACGGCCATATCTGCAACAACGAGCATCACTGACGAACATAGCACACGCGCCGAATCTTGTCACCACGATCGCTGCTGCCACGGCAATCCTCACTGATGCTATCACATATTGAATTCCACTGGTACTGCAAATTCGCAAAACGCCATTTATCCTAGCCAGCCTTGCTGGTGTCGGTCTCTCTGGATGAGAAGCAGACGGAGACCTTCCTGTGGATCAGGCAGAAAGAAATCGTGCCGTAGAGAAGCAGTAGGCGCGCCTCGGTGACTAAGTCCAACGCGGTCTTGCCGGCGACGCAGACCGACGTGTCGGCCCGTATGTTGACCAGGAGCTGCACCACTCCTACCTGAGAGCCGGCAAAGAACTCGCGATGCAGCCTTCCTGCCTCGAACCTCACTGCGTACCTGCTCCTCCAGAGGTCTCTGGAGGTCTTCAGAAACCCACGGTTCATCCTTCTGAGCCCCTTTGGCGTGTGAGCCCATTCGGCCAACGAACGGACCCAGGCTCGAGCCCGCTCCGCGGCCGCACGGGCTCGGTTCCTTCCGCTCGGGACTGAGCCCGCTTCGCTGCCTCCTCGGCGGGCGAGTGGGCTCGCACGCCGAAGTTGTCTCAGCATGGCGCTCTCGGGAAACCTTTCGGAGGAGGAGGAGGAGGAGGAGGAGGAGGAGGAGGAGAGAAAGAGGAGGAGGAGGAGGAGGAGGAGGAGGAGGAGGAGGAGGAGGAGGAGGAGGAGGAGGAGGAGGAGGAGGAGAGAGGAGGAGGAGGAGGAGGAGGAGGAGGAGGAGGAGGAGGAGGGAGGAGGAGGAGGAGGGAGGAGGAGGAGGAGGAGGAGAGGAGGAGGAGGAGGAGGAGGAGGAGGAGGAGGAGGAGGAGGAGGAGGAGGAGGAGGAGGAGGAGGAGGAGGAGGAGGAGGAGGAGGAGGAGGAGGAGGAGGAAGTCGAGAACAGCTCTTTCGCGACGTGGGCCCCATGGGCCCTGGGGAGCTCGACCTCCTCCCGGGGACTGGCTCTTCGTCCCGAAGCCTCTGTGGGCGGTCCCGGGGCCACGGAGACGGCCCCTAGAGGCCGAACGCGCGTAACAAAAAACCGGTCGTCGCGATCTCGTGTCACGACGCCAAGATCCGAGGGTCCCCTGGCCATCGCTCGGACGTCCATTCCCTGTGTTTTTTTCGGTTTCGTGCGTGGTTTTTTCGCCAAATGATCAAAGATGCTCCTCGATGGTGCTCGCCCGAGGGGCCTGGAGGCTGGAGCCGCAAACGTGGAGAAGCCAGCCGTCGAGATTCTCTGGCGGCGCCGAGGTCTGCGGGTCCGGAGGCGGAGGCCCTGGGGGCGCTCCCAGAGGCTTCTGGAGGTCGAGGAGAGGGCCGGAGCGGCCGAAAGCCCGATCCCCGAGGAGCAGGAGTCGGGCGCTCGTTGACAGGGGGGCGTGAACGATGAGTGAAGAAACGTGGGCCCCTGCAGCACATTTTGGGCGCGCGGTGGCAGCTGAGTGGCTGTTCAGGGCACCTTCAAGGCCACTTTCCTGCTTGGAGGCTGCCGGGGGTCTGAACTGGTGGGGACCCCGGAGAAAATCGGCCAGGAGGGTCCTCCGAAAACGGCTCCCAAAGGCCGAACAGAAGCAGAAACCCTCTTCGAACCCAGCACCTCGAACCGCTTCCCCCCCTTCCTGCTCGCTGGAAGCAATGCTGGGCTGCCTCAGCCCCCAACCGGCTCCAACTTTCCTGCAATCCTCGGTCCCCCCCCCCGTCTATTATACCGCCTCCGCTGCCGAGCGCGAAGCGGCGGCCCAGCGGCGCTCTCGCGACTCCGCGTGCGCTTGACTCTCCGCTCTCCCCCGCCCGAGCCGTTCGAGAGCGGGCGGGGGCGCTCTCGGCAGCCCCTTTGTCCCCTCTGTCCGCACAGGGGAGGAGGAGGAGGAGGAGGAGGAGGAGGAGGAGGAGGAGGAGGAGGAGGAGGAGGAGGAGGAGGAGGAGGAGGAGGAGGAGGAGGAGGAGGAGGAGGAGGAGGAGGAGGGGAGGAGGGAGGAGGGAGGAGGAGGAGGGAGGAGGGGGGAGAGGGGGAGGGGGAGGGCGCAGGAGGGAGGAGGAGGGAGGAGGAGGATGGCGCCCCTTGTCAGCCTCTCCCTGCTTCTTTCCCCAGACTCGGCGGCGCGCCCAGGGGGGAGGTGACGCGGGGGCAGGCCTTCTCAGAAGGCGGCGGGGGCTTCTCGGAAGCCCTCCGACCTTCTGAGGAGCCGTCTCTGTCTTTGGAGAAGTGGACAAGCGCGTTGCACTACTCGCAAAGTGACCACTCGCAAATGGCCTGGATCTGCCGCGGGGTACTTACGCCACCAAGGACGACATGTCAGTTTCGGACGCCTGCGAGTGAGCGCTCTGCGAGTAGTGGAACAGGCTCGGTGAAGAAGGTCGCGAAAACTTTCCGTGGAGGCAGGCGGCCTTCCGAGCCCTCGGAGAATGCCCGCCGCCCCTCTCACTTCGCCCCCGGGCTCGCCGCCGGCAGACCTCCGACGCGTGGAACCATTCAGCGCGACGTTCTGTCGCCGATCTCGGCCTCTGGGGGCCCTCGTCGGGAGAGGTAGTTTTCCCTTGGATTCGGGCAAGTTTGCTGGCATGGGGGGGGTGGAGGCGGGGGAGGGGGGGCGTGGCGAGGCCTGGAAGGAAATCTGGCCTCAGTGCAAGTCGGGACTTGACTTGCCCGCCCTTTCGGCCCAGCGCTGTCTGAAGAGGCGGCGAGGGGGGGATGCAATGCAAGTCGTACTTCGCCTGTGTTAAATAAACAGCCTCTTCTTTCCTTAGACCTCCAACGTATTGAAACACTCAAATCGGCATTTCTTCGCTACTTTCGGCCTCCAAGGGCCTCCCGCCGGGCCCCAAACCGTCAAAAGAACGACCCAGGGTGAGAAGCCGGCCACATGGGGAAAGGGTCGGGACTTTTTGGGAACTCGCGTGGAACGAATCAAGCCATCGTTTTTTTTTTTTTTTTTTTTTTTTGTTTTTTTTTTCCGTTTTTTTTTTTTTTTTTTTTTTTTTTTTTGTTTTTGTTGTCTTTTTCTTCTCTCTCTCTCTCCCTCCCTCTCTCTCTCATTTTTTGTTCTCTCTCTGCATATATATATAGATATACATATCTTCCCCAATCAGAGCTTGCCTCTGTAGGGGTCCAAGCGGATTCATATGGTTAAATGAACTTTGCCGCCGCTTTCCGCGGCCCGCCCAAGTGACCGGGTGCCTGGGTGCCCAGGTGCCCGGGTCCCTGGGTGCCTTAGAGCCCTATAGCCCTATAGTCCTATAGCCGTATAGCCCTACAGCCCCATAGCCCTATAGCCCAAGAGCCCTATAGCCTTATAACCTTCTAGCCCTATCGTCCTAGAGCCCTATAGCCCTATAGCCCTACAGCCCTACAGCCCTATAGCCCTACAGCCCTATAGCCCTATGGCCCTATAGCCTTATAGCCCTATGGCCCTCTAGCCCTATGGCCCCATAGCCCTATAGCCCAATAACCGTATGGCCCTATAGCCCAATGTCCCTATAACCCTCTATTCCTGCAGACCTATAGCCCTATAGCCTTATAGCCCCATGGCCCAATAGCCCAATAGCCCTATAGCTCTATTTGCCTATAGCCCTATAGCCCCATAGCCCTATATCCTTACAGCCCTATAGCCCTATGGTCCTATAGTCCTATAGCCCCATGGCCTTATTGACTCAGAGCCCTATGACCCTATAGCCCTATAGCCCCATAGCCCCATAGCCCCATAGCCCTATAGCCCTACAGCCCTATAGCCCTATGGCCCTATAGCCCTATGGCCCTATAGCCCTATAGACCTATAGCCCTGTGGCCCTGAAGTCCTACAGTTCCATCGGCCTAGCCCCATAGCCCCATCGCCCTATAGCCCCATAGCCCCATAGCCCTAACAAGACTTTTTTTCTACTGCCATTTATGTCTTTACATCTATAGATCCATACATACACATATTTATATATTTCTATATAGATACACGTATATTCAGGTATGAGTATACATAAAAGTATAGTTCAATTACTATTTCGGAGAACTGAGGGTTCTCAAATGGCGGTCCGGGGGCCGCCGCGTGGCATGATTGAGCTCCGACGTGCGCGGTGCAGCGTCGACGGGTGATTATCCCGGCAAAGCAACCTAACAGCGATGTGTAGAGTTCTGCTGTTCTCGCAGTCGCAGTCGCATTCGCGATGACAGTCGAGTGGCAACGGCAGTCGCAGTCACAGCCTCAGCCTCATCAGCATCAAGCAGTGCCTCAGCCTCAGCCTCACAGTCAGCAGCCTTCAGCCTCAGCCTCAGCCTCAGCCCTCAGCCTCAGCCTCAGCCTCAGCCTCAGCCTCAGCCTCAGCCTGCCTCAGCCTCAGCCTCAGCCTGCTTCAGCCTCAGCCTCAGTCTGCCTTCAGCCTCGGCCTCAGCCTCAGCCTGCCTCAGCCTCAGCCTGCATCAGCCTCAGCCTCAGCCTCAGCCTGCCTCAGCATCAGCCTGCCTCAGCCTCAGCCTCAGCCTGCCTCAGCCTCAGCCTCAGCCTGCTTCAGCCTCAGCCTCAGTCTGCCTTCAGCCTCAGCCTCAGCCTCAGCCTCAGCCTCAGCCTCAGCCGCCTCAGCCTCAGCCTCAGCCTCAGCCTCAGCCTCAGCCTCAGCCTGCCTCAGCCTCAGCCTGCCTCAGCCTCAGCCTCAGCCTCAGCCTCAGCCTCAGCCTGCTTCAGCCTCAGCCTCAGTCTGCCTTCAGCCTCGGCCTCAGCCTCAGCCTGCCTCAGCCTCAGCCTGCATCAGCCTCAGCCTCAGCCTCAGCCTGCCTCAGCATCAGCCTGCCTCAGCCTCAGCCTCAGCCTGCCTCAGCCTCAGCCTGCTTCAGCCTCAGCCTCAGTCTGCCTTCAGCCTCGGCCTCAGCCTGCCTCAGCCTCAGCCTGCATCAGCCTCAGCCTCAGCCTCAGCCTGCCTCAGCATCAGCCTGCCTCAGCCTCAGCCTCAGCCTGCCTCAGCCTCAGCCTCAGCCTGCTTCAGCCTCAGCCTCAGTCTGCCTTCAGCCTCGGCCTCAGCCTCAGCCTGCCTCAGCCTCAGCCTGCATCAGCCTCAGCCTCAGCCTCAGCCTGCCTCAGCCTCAGCCTCAGCCTGCCTCAGCCTCAGCCTCAGCCTCAGCCTGCTTCAGCCTCAGCCTCAGTCTGCCTCAGCCTCGCCTCAGCCTCAGCCTCAGCCTCAGCCTCAGCCTCAGCCTGCAGCCTGCCTCAGCCTCAGCCAGCCTCAGCCTCAGCCTGCCTCAGCATCAGCCTGCCTCAGCCTCAGCCTCAGCCTGCCTCAGCCTCAGCCTCAGCCTGCTTCAGCCTCAGCCTCAGTCT